TCAATAAGAGAATAATTCTTACAGGGGACAGGGAAATGCATAAATTGTGCCTGGGATACTGTGAATTTTGTAGTCCTAGCTTCATCCCCTGCATTTTCATCGCGCTTTGTCTGCATGTCTCTCAGGGCACTGGGAATGCTTTGCTTTATGCTTCACGATAGACACTTCACATTTGCCAGGGATCTGTCCAGGGATCTTGGTGAATACCCAGCTTTTCTTGTACCCTTGGAGCAACAAGCTTCATTACTGGGGGGTCAAGTGAACTTAATCACTAGCTGTGTGATTCAAGCAGTACGAGTCCAGATTCATCCCTTAGCAAAATGGCTCCCTCTCACAGGTGTTGAGTCGTTTGTAATCATCAGAACCTTAGAAACCATTTTTCAGATTGAAGAGGTTTCTTGGAAAGGTTTTAAACGTGCACACATGTCTCCTTATAAGATTATAAACTTCTGGGCAGCAATGATCGTGTCCCTTCATCTTTACATCCTCTAACAATCCAGCATAGATTATTGCTGAGGGAGGAAAGGAAAGCTGTTGTGTCAAATCATGTCCCTGTCTATTCAGTTGTGCTGTAATGAAACGATTCCCCTTCATGTTTTTATTTTTAAGCTTTATTTCCATATAAAGGAACATTATTTGGATAGGTAATTAGGTATGTCACTGCCGTTAACTATACAGAGGGTTTGTTTTTGTTTTGGTAAAAGCTTTAGGTTTAGCACTTTAAAAAATCATTTCAGCTTGAGAGTTTTGAAAAATGCTTCTTCCCATCATTATTTGCTAAGAAAGCCACACTTCCTGGTGATTTAGTAAAACCTTTGTCAGGTAGTCCTGAAAATAGCTTTTCAGTGGACCCGGTCACCACAGGCCACTTCCCCTGCTCAGGCTTCAGCCCAGGTCCTGCTCTCTGTTAGTTGCTAGGGAACCAGTTCCCACACCTTCTCTGTCTCCTGGTCTCTTTCATTGCTCTTGCTGCCTCCGAATCCCAACACAAACCATGTTTGTAATTGCTGGACTGTACAGGGATGCAGGTTAGGTCAGAGTTGGGGGGTTAATCAAAACAAACACTGGGAAAGTTACAGTGGTTCACGGGAACTCAATTAGTAAACACTGAGGAGTCACCCATCCTTGTGAAAATGTATATGGAAATAAAAATGCCTGCATTTTAGTCCCTTCTAAAACTTCCCTCTTAGAGACGCCCTGAGTTAGAACACATCAGCTTGCAGTGAACTAAAATGTACTCAAATTAGAGACTCAAGAAAGGGACTTGTTAGAAGAATGCTCTCTGCTTCCAGGAGAGCTGAGCAATCAGGCAGGCATGGGGGAAGGCAGGGGCAAACGCAGGTCAGAGGACCTCAGCAGTGGGTGCGAGGCCTGCATACTGCACATTTCCCTAGGCTCAGACTGTTGGGAGGAGAGATGGCTTCTGCCCAGCACCCAGGCCTGACTCAGCCAGCTGTGACCTGAGGGTGTGGGGCTGCCCCATCCTGGGCTGTGAAATGTAGACATGCAGAGAAAATGGTCCCTGTCCACTGCTGGTTCCAGGTATTAACAGTCCACCTCCTCCATCACTATAATCTAGGGGTGAGCAGGGATCTTTCCAGGATACATGGGTTGTCTCTTGATTTCAGCTTAGGTCATGATTTCATGGTTTGTGAGTTCAAGCTCCACATCAGGCTCTGCTCTGAAAGTGTGGAGCCTGCTTGCAATTTTCTCTCTCCCTCTCTCTTTCCCTCTCTCCCACTCATGCTGTCTTTGTCTTTCTCAAAATAAAATAAACTTTATTTATTTACAAAATTTTGTGTTTATTTTTGAGAGAGAGACAGCCAGAAAGTGAGCGGGGGAGAGGCAGAGCGGGAAAGGGAGACAGAATCCGAAGCAGGTTCCAGACTCTGAGCTGTCAGCACAGACATGGGGCTCAAACTCACCAAACGTGAGATCACAACCTGAGCTGAAGTTGGACACTTAACCGACTGAGCCACCCAGGTGCCCTTGACTGATATGAATTTAATTTGTATCTCTTATTCCCTTGACTGACCATTTTCAGTCTAGGAAGGGTTAGATTAGAAGAGGAACAGATTTAGAATGAATTATGCAGCAAAAAAGCTCTTGTAGCCATTGTACATTCAGTAGATGGAAAACATTTCTCAGTCACTGGATTCCAGGCTCTATGCTAGATATTTTAAGGAAAGGTATACTAATAACTAATATTGACTTAGTCTTACATGCCAACAGGTTGACATGCTAAATGAATTTACATGTATGAGCTAATTTAAATTTTCCTGCAAATCTTTGAACCAGGAGCCGCTACTATCCCCTCTATATTCAGAGTAGAAAATTAAGATTTGGGAAGTTTAAGCAACTTAAAAAAAAAATTGAGTTAATGTATAAAATGCATGAAAAAAGAAATGGTGGGAACCAAATTGATAGGTAGAGAGACAAATCATGGGGGTGTTCTATTGGGGTTATTCTGTTGGTCACAAAGACCCACTGAGGTTTTGGAACCTAGGGGTTGTGTCAGAACTACGCTTGCAGAAACTTCCTGGCAATCCTGTGAGGAATGGCTGACACTGAAAGTAACTAAGGAAGCTTTTGATGAGGCTCCAGGAGAAACCAGAGGAGGACCAGGACCAGTGTGATAGTTGGGGAAACAGAACTGGCTAGAGAACCTTGTAGTTTCCTTTTCAGCTTCCCTTCAAGTCTCCTCTCTGGACTTTAGTTTTAAACAATCTACCATTTATTTTTATTTATTTTTTTTAATGTTTTATTTATTTCTAGGAGAGAGAGAGAGACAGCGTGAGCAGGGGAGGGTAAGAGAGAGAGGGAGTCACAGACTGAAACAGGCTCCAGGCTCTGAGCAGGCAGTCAGCACAGAGACAGAAACGGGGCTCGAACCCACAAACCGCGAGATCATGACCTAAGCGAAAGTCGGACGCTTAACTGACTAAGCCACCCAGGCGCCCCAACAATCTACCTTTTAAACATTCTAGCAGAGACTACTGCTGATTCTGGAGTTGCTTTTAATTTCAGCAGGGGAAAAAAAAAACCCAGGAGAAAACAAAAAGGCTAACATTTGAAAAGCCTTGTCCTTGGGGGCGCCAGGGTGGCTCAGTTGGTTAAGTGTCCGACTTTGGTTTAGGTCATGATCCCACATTTGTGGGTTTGAGCCCCACATCGGGCTCTGTGCTGACAGCTCCGAGCCTGGAGCCTGCTTCAGATTCTGTGTCTCCCTCTCTCTCTGTCCCTCCCCCACTCACACTCTGTCTCTTTCTCTCTCAAAAAAAAAAAACAAAAATGAAAACCAAAAACTGTATTCTCCATTTACCTCGCGAGAAACAAAATGAACTCCAAGGAGTCCATGAATAGTGAGGTATGAATTGACTGTAGCAGTTTCTTCAAGTTAAGGGTGGCGTGAAAGGAACCTGCACGCACGCATGTTCTCCATGTCAAGGTGCAGGAGACAACTTGTGAGAAGCATGTTTGCCACTCAGGGTGGGAGCTGACTGGTTCTCTCAGAACTTCCTTCCCTTGGCCTCATGTTTCCCAACAGGACATGCTGCTGCTGTCCATACAAGGTGTGGCTACATGGGATCTGAGAAAACAGACCAATTTTTAGTGCCTCTTATTCTTGAGACTCGTATCTTATTCCAGAAGGGCTTCTGGATGATCCTACTTGAAGCAACGTGTATAAATCAGTATTGGGCTTTCCTAGGTTTTGGACCAAACTCAGTCTTTACAAGGTTCTTGCATCAACCAGAGGAAGGGAGTGGGCTTTGTGTTGTTTGTGCTTTGGATCAGCAAGTATTAATTCAGGATTGTGTGTATCAGTCACTGTGCTGCATACAAGTTATGCAGTGATGAGTAAGGCATAGCCATTATGGGACAGAGGTACCAGGATAGTTTGGGTATCAAGGCAAGCAGGTAGCCATAGCAGTACAAAAGATGTCAAAGAGGTTTCTCAGTATTTGGCCAGTCCTTTGACCTTGGAAGCTCCTGAAAGGAATCATTAAAGAAAGACAAAGGTCAAAGAGGAAAATTTGAGCTTAAAAACCTACAAGCCCTTAGAGATAAATAAAAAAGTTCCCTAAGCATACGTAATAATAAATTTGATATGAAGAATATCATATGAGTTTTTCTTTTTTAAGTTTTATTTATTTTGACAGAGAGTTCACATGAGTTGGGGGGGGGGTCGGAATGCAGAGAGAGAGGGAGAGAAAATCCCAGGCAGGCTCTGGGCTTGAACCCACGAACCCGTCAGATCATGGCCTGAGCCGATAGTCAAAAGCCAGATGCTTAACTGACTGAGCCACCCAGGTGCCCCTAATATGAGTTTTTCAATTCTTCTAAGAATTACAGATATTTTTGTGACTGGGAACTGCAGCTTCACTGAGTTGGAACCTATCTTTTAGTTTTATCTTTTATTTCCCTGTAGTTCTTAGTAGTAAAAGTTTTTTAAATGCTTAGGAGGAATTCTTGCTTTCTTGGTGTCAGTAAATATGAGGGTTGAGCCAGGGCAACACTCTGGATCCTGAAGCCACAGAGGGTTTGGAAGGTGGTGCAGTCCTAGGCATGGGTCTAGAGTTCGGAAAAGGGCTCCACTTTAGGAACCCCTGGGGTCAGCCACAGGGTGGTGGTGGGATCTGGGGACTCGGTGCTAACATTTCTTGGAATTACCTATAGTTCCTCATTCATCTCTGGTGCCATGATAGTTTACTTTATTCCACTGAGGTCAAAAGTAAAACAGTACCTAAGAGAGTAACATACTGTCAATTTCCTGAAATCCAGTCTGAACTGAAAATACTTTAAGGAACAAATATGTTAATGGTATGTATATATATATATATATATATATATATATGGAAAAGATGAGGAGAAAGGGATGCCTCCTCTCTTTTTGTGTCTTATATTTTTGCACAATATAGCCATCTTCTATTCTTTAAGGATTTGCTAGTCAAAGATTTGTAAATTTATCCTGATAAGTAATGGTCACTCTCTTCTTTCAGCAGATTTCTGCACATGGCAGATCTTCTTCCAATGTAAATGGTGGACCTGAGCTTGGTCGTTGCATGAGTCCTGAAGGTAGTCCTCAATCTGATTATTACTTCTGTACAGGAAGTCATCCATGTGAACTTGGTGGCCACCCAGAACCCACCTGTGCTAAATTATGATCTTCCTAAACAGGGATGTAATCATGTCACCAATTAGCCTATTGAGCCATAGTGAATGGGAGTCACTGCAAGATATATAAAGTTTCCTTGTTTTTAATTAAGCTAACCCAATTTCAGATTTTACACTTGGGCTTCCTTATTTTTTTCCTTAGCTGTCTGCTCACAAGTCCTACACGTAGACATTCTCTCAGGTAGCAAAAGTATGTTTCTTCATTGGATGTCTGCTATGTGCAGGGCACTGGGAACGCATTGTAAAAGTAGTCACTGTAACTACTTTGTCCTTCTCCCTCTCCCCTGCCTTTTTTTCAGAAGACCTAGAGCCAGAGTTAGCCTTCACAGGTATCCCAGCTGAGTAGAATTTTTTTACTGGAAAATCCTAGGGAGAAATCTTGAAAATTTCTAAGATCAAATCCCCACTATCATCCCTTTCCCCCGTTCTTGAGTGTTAACAAAAAAGTTTACAAAGCTTAGGTTAAACTTCCTTTTACTGATTTCAGCTGATGCCTGGGGGCTTTGTTAGGTGTATTGATTATGTTTGTTTTGGATTCTACAACCAGGTCAAAAGTAAATTGGTGATTCAGGTGTTCTCTTCAGAAAATATGCTTAGAAATTTTCTTATGGTTCGCCATAGATTTAGAAATGAATTCACTGCAATTTATTATTGTCTGGATATATAGGAATCTAGATGAAATGATGATGTGTTTGCTAGACTTTGCATTTATCCTTCTGTGCAGGTGTGAATGGAAACAGGTGCTCTGAATCATCTACTCTTCTTGAGAAATACAAAATTGGGAAGGTTATTGGTGATGGGAATTTTGCAGTAGTCAAAGAGTGCATGGACAGGTGAGTGTGTAGTGAGGATAATCATTTATTCACCTACACGTACATTTCTTCCTTGGAGTTTATTCTTATCTGAATGAATGAATAATATGCCTTCCTGGGAAGTCTCTTTTTCCCCCTTCCTGAAAAAGTCTACTGTTAGGATCAGCTGCTTTGTAAGCCCACTGGCAGTTTGTCCACGAAAAATATAGGTGTACATGCAGAATATAAACTTGCTTTGTATGCAGTTGGCGTAAGAGATTTATCAGGTCTCATCCACGAGCCAGAGAGGAATAGGGAAGGATAAGATTCATTTAAAAAAAAATCTATAGCACTTACCTGTGTTAGGCACTGTTCTCTATGCTATTCCTATATTATTAACCAGTTTAAACCCCACATTAGCCCTCTGTTAACACTTAGTTGCTTATACTAGTAGTTCAGGAACATGAGCTCTGAATCTATTAAGATCAGAGTCAGCCAACTTTTGCCTATATGAAAATTATATTTTTGCTTATTCAACTTCAATTTGTTTAAGGTCTTAAATTCTCAAGTGGTAAGAAATCCATTATTTTAAATTCCAGGCCTTTTGTAAACCATATAAAAACTGGAAAAGACTCACATTAGTCTTTGTGTTTATAGGCCAATGTCCAACCTGTTCTGAGTGGTAATTTTTTATTATTTGTGGAGAATCTTCCAGAAAGATTAACTACAGCTTTTCAGTTTCATCAGTCTCCTGTGAAGCTTTGGTGCCCCTTGTAGAGGACGCTCCCCTGCCCTCTACATTGTTTGACTTAGCCCTGATGTATAGCTTGTCTTCCAGGTAACAAATTAAGTAGGTAAAATACAGCCTCTGAAGACTCATTAGAAATCTGAGTCCTGAATATCTGGGTGACTCAGTTGGTTAAGCCTCAGAGTCTTGATTTCAGCTCAGGTCATGATCTCATGGTTCCTGAATTGGAGCCCCACAATTCCTGCTTGGGATACTCTCTCTCCCTCTATCTTTGCCCCTCCCCTGCACATGCTTTTGTGTGCACTCTCACTTGCTCTCTTTCTCTCTCTCTCTCTTTCTCTCTCTCTCTCTCAAAATAATAAAATATTTAAAAAATCTAAATCCGGGGGCGCCTGGGTGGCTCAGTTGGTTAAGCGTCCGACTTCGGCTCAGGTCATGATCTCACGGTTTGTGGGTTCAAGCCCCGCATCGGGCTCTGTGCTGGCAGCTAGCTCAGAGCCTGGAGCCTGTTTCGGATTCTGTGTCTCCCTCTCTCTCTGACCCTCCCCTGCTCATGCTGTCTCTGTCTGTCTCAGAAATAAATAAAACATTAAAAAAATTTAAAGAAAAAAATCTGAATCCGAGTTTGAGTAATTTAAATGAAAGTTATTCTTTTAAGGTCAGTGTAAGCAGTGTGTACTATGACTATGTGGCAAAAACAGCTGTACTTGAGAGAACTAATATATTCCAAATACTGCTGTATTTTTTGTTGAAGTGTTTTCCTATTCTACAAGAAATTTTTTGGCATGTTCAGGTTAAATTATGTTAAAGATGATTAAAAGTTAAGTAACAACATCAACATTTGTGTGTCCAAGTAAATGATCGGTCTCTTTACTACCAGATATAAGCATTTAAAGGTATGGGTAAAATGGTACCAGATGGAGTTTTTGCTGAGAAATAGATATTGAAAGTCTAGGGCTTTTTAATCATTGATAGATTAATGTAAAGATATATTGATAATAGAAAGTTTCATTAATAGAAAGTTTTCAGTTACTTTGATTCACTTTTCTTAATTTTATTCTGCCTCCTAAGAGAACTATTTTGGAGTTTTAGTATGGAAAAAGTTTCTTGTCCAGCTCTGGTACAACATAAGTACTTTTAATATGAGAGTTATTTAATAATACTATAATTATTAATATTTATAAAAGGAGATTGACAGGATGGCTTTGGATTTTTTTTCTTTTTTTGGTACCTTTCTCCCTGACCCCACTCAACATTGCTCCTGATGTGCAGATGAGGAAGCCAGCCCTTCTTTCCTGAATTTGTGCTGTAGAGGAAAATCAGGAATGATTGTATCTTTATTTGTATCTTTAAATTGCCTTTCTCTGATTGTTACATAGGTCCACTGGAAAGGAATTTGCCCTGAAGATTATAGACAAAGCCAAGTGTTGTGGAAAGGTACAGTATACATAAATTTTGTGTGAAAGAAACTGAGAAACCTTGGTGAGGTGTTTGCTGGGGTTTATGTGGACGTTGGCAAGGCCTTAATAGGAATAGGCCACTGATCAAAACGGTGGAAGTACTATCAAGCTGGGTTTTTGTTTTTGTTTTTTTTTTTTTGGGGGGGGGGGCGGGGGTCCTGTCATTGTTAAAAAACTTTAATCCTAAAACTGTAAATTGAGTTCACATGGTCCTAGCTTTCGAAAATGTAAGTTCTCTTCTTTGGGAGATGCCTATTTCCAACCCAGCAGTGCTCAAAAGATGTATCATGAACCATAACGAGTCTAAGACTTTACCTTGCTTTCAAACTAACAAATTAGTCTGCTAGCTGTATGGATTCTGGCAGAAGACACCAGATTGCTGGGTCAGTGACAAAAGACTTCAGTACTCATGGCACAAGAGGTGGCTTTGGTTCCCCTTAGCCCCCAAATCCCATAGAAGTGATGCGGAAGGGCCACGGTAGTTGCTGTGCACACAAAATGTTTCCATCACAGTTGAGGGTCCCCAAGCTTAGTAAACCCCCAGTCTTATGAAGGGGCTCCTAGAAAACTTGTCCAAATCTTGACCCAGGGGAGAACTTTATTTTTATTATCATGGTCAGGAACCAAATCTGTCCTCTGCCCCTGAGGGAGACCCTAACTCTACCTTTGGGAAGATAGTTTGTCACAAAAGCTGATGAAGATGTGCAGAAACACGTGAAGAATTGTCTTCCCTGCTCCCCCCCCCCCACTAGATGAACTTTTTCCTTCTGTCCCACTCTCAAGCTGGGTTGGGAAAGATCAAATGATGAAATGCTGCTGGAGTATTGCTAAGTTAATTATGTTTGAAAAATTAATTATTCTATAACAGGAATGACAGACCTTTTTAGATTACTTTCTGGTAGCATAGCATTTAAGAGAGCAAGGCTCTAGAACTCACTCTCCAACACATGTGGCTATCTGAAATGTGGCTAGTCTGAACTGAAATGTAGATGTAAAATACATGGTAGATTTTCCAAAGACTTAGAAAAAAGAATGTAGTACCTCATTATATCTTTTGAATTTGATTGCATGTTGAAACAATAATACTTTGGATATATTGGGTTATACAAGTTACTAGTTTTATCTGTTTCCTTTTACATTTCATAATGGGGATATGAGAAAAATTAGATTTGTATGTGTGGATCACATTATATTTCTGTTGAACAGTGCTGTTCTAGTGCCAGATTGTCTAAAGTTTAGTCCTGGTTCTGCTTCTTTTTGTTATATTATCTTGGAAAAGTTATGTAATCTCTAAAATGTGGTTGTTAATAATATCTAAGAAACAAGGTTATCATGAATATTAACTGAATTGAGGTATGGAAAACATGTAGAGAAGTAGCAGTATATAAGAATTTAACACATTTTAACTGTTAACATTAATATGCCACAGGAATTCAGAATTTATAATTAGGAGAATTTGAAGTGATAGTAGTGATGTTGTATTTATGGAACTCCTAAACTAGTCTTCATTGGATTCTATAAAAATGTTTTTTAACAAAAAACTTAAAATATGATGAAGTTTCAGAAAGGCAAAAGACACATTTGTCATAACTTTTTTTTTTTTTTTAACCACACTGTGACAGCTTAGGAAGCTGAGACTTTGCAAAATGCCACATTTATTATTTTAGAAAAAAATGGTATAGACAATTTGTTTTTAAAAACAAAATTTAGGGGACAGTAGGGGCACCTGAGTGGCTCAGTTGGTTGAGCATCCAACTTCAGCTCAGGTCATGATCTCGTGTTTTGTGAGTTCAAGCCCTGTGCCTGGCTCTGTGCTGACAGCTCAGAGCCTGGAGCCTGCTTCAGATTCTGTGTCTCCCTCTCTCTTTGCCCCCTCCCTCTCCCCCCACTCTGTCTTTCTCTCTCAAAAAATAAAATAATGAAACATTAAAAAAAAAAAGACTCAACCACTAAAAAAAAATTTAGGGGGCAGTATAGCAGAATTAGCTACTATTCTGTGGTATTGTTGGTTTACCTCTGCTTTGTGGGTTGTATACAGAAAAATTAATAATGTTGAAAATGATATGCCCAAGCTTGGACATAAAAGAATTTTGCGCATTACCTTTAATGATTTGCTCAACAAGATACACAGTTTCACCTATAAAAGGAGATTCAGATTAAAGCTTTCTCAAAGTCACACAGAGGCAGAACAGTGATTGGAATTTTGTGCCAATTGGTTCCATAGCCTATATATTAGGCAGTCTGTCATGTTCCATATCCAGGTTCAATTTATTCACTTGTTCATGTAATAAGAACCTGAGAAAAAGGTTTTTAACCTTTCTGGCCTTCTATTTGCCTTTCTGTAATTTACATATACATTATTAGATGGCTCATTTTGCTAAAATTTAATGTGTGTGAAAGACACTGCTAGGAAGAAGGTTAAATAGCGTGTGTGTGTGTGTGTGTGTATGCTATATAAATTAATCCCAGTTCTGCAGAGAATATAAGGGGAGTTTGGAGGTAGCACATGAGAGAGAAGTTAGGTGATCAGTGAAGAAGCCATAGAGTAAGCATTTGAGCTGGACATTGAGCACTGGGTAGGATTTCAATAGGCAGTAATGAAAGCAAAGGCTTCCAGGTAGCCAGCACGACCTGAGCAAAGGCCCAGAGGACGGAAAGCATGTTAGGTGCTTCTAAGTAGGAGATTATTGCAAGCTCTGCTGTGGGGCTAGATTTATGAAGGCTGTTGGAAGGCTGTGATGTTTGTAAATTTAAGAATTCTTCTATATCTAATTTTCTAAATAATACTCATTCTAAATGGTTATTTATTAAATCCACATAGGGTACGAAGCTCTGAGCTTTCTGTTATGGTGCTTAGAAGTGATACATCCTTTGCTTCCCCCAGTTGTGCATTCATTATCTACATATAATGGAACCAAGCACAGTGTAAACCCGAATGTATATTGTATTAGCTTCCTGAGGCTATTGGAATAAATTACATATCTTGGTGGCTTATTAAAGCAGGAATTTATTCTCTCACAATTCTGGGGCCCAGAAGTGTGAAATCCATACTCCCTCTGGAGTTCTAGAGGAGAATCTGTTCTTTGACTCTGAGTGGCTTCTGGTGGCTGATGGCATTCCTTGGCTTGTGGCCACATCACTTCAACCTCTGCCTCTTGTCTTCACATCACTTTCTTGTCTGTGTGTTTATTTTTCCTCTTTTGTTTGTGAACTCTGCCTCCATTCATAAGGACAATTGTGATGGTACCTTGATAGTTCAGAGTTATCCCCTCATTGTGGAATCCTTACATCTATAAAGACCCTTTCTCCAAATAAGGTACTATTCACAAGTTCCAGGGGTTAGGCCTTGATATCTTTGGGTGGCCATCATTCAGTCCACTCCATACATCTACCATGGAAATTATATGGGGTGATTTAAACTTTTTCTCTCTCTTATTGTATTATCCTCAGTGATACTCATTAAGCAATGTGGATACCAGCTGGAAAGGCACTGTTGGCCAAGAGCAATGTGTGGTATATTTATTCACTCACTCAGGCACTTCAGAACTATAGTGGTTGCAGGAAAGCAAGGTGAACAGAAGCATCCAGGCAGCAGGGTGAGAGCAGTGGTTGGAACAAGCACAGGAGGCACTGAGGGAAGTAAGAAGGGTGCTTAACCCAGCCATGGTTGAGCAGGGGAGGCTATTTAGAGAAGGTGAGGTCTAATCTGGACCTGAGGAATACATAGGAGTTCCCCTAAGGAGTGGAGGGGTTGGGAATTCCAGAAAGAGAAACCTGTGCAAATTTCTGGAGGTCCAGGTGAGAGATTGGTAATAGGGATAGAGGTAAATGGATGGATTCAGAGGCTGTTGAGAAGGTCTCATGGCAGGGATTGGGGATTGATGGGCTGTGCTAGGGGATGAGGGAAGGGCGTGGGGATCCCTGTCTGACATGGACAGCCAGGTTCATTCAGTGAGACAGAGGGCACAGAAGGAAAGGACCGCTTTGTGTGGCTGGAGTGGGTGGAGAAAAGATGAGGAGTCTGTTTTGGGAGAGTTGTTTATTCCCCAATCCATTTCTCTCTCCAGCTCCCTCCCCCCCCCCCACATTAAAAACCACCACAGCCACAGATAAGGTGTATCCTTTGCCAAGTTAGCAGTTTTCTTTGTTATTTACTCTCAGAACCATGGAACACTGCCACAAAATGATTCATATGTAAATTATTTGGAGTTAGAATCCTGAATCACTTAACGTGAATAATGGTAGATGGCTCAATAATGCAAGTTCACTGCAGTTCAAGATAAAAGTGACATTCATATTGTATTCAGAGATTTTTTTTTTCTTCCTGGCAAATGTAATCTATAGAGTTTACATATTATAAAGAAAGATAACATGTGAGTTGCCTAAGAAATAGGAAGATAACATTTGGAAAGATTTTTATGGACTACTTTCGTTTTGCTTCTGATGATGATTAGTTTAAAAAGTGGATTGTTCCTAGACAGTTTTACAGTCACAGTTCAGAGGTTGGGAGACAAAGTCTAACATCTCCCACATTCCAACAGAAACATTCACTGTGTGCTTAGAATACAAGCCATTGTGGAGGAGAGTGCTGGAAGCTGAGATAACACATAGTGGTGGAGAGAATGTTGCAGGACTTGCTCAGTATTTCCAATGTAACACTGCCGGTGGTCCTCGGGGAGGATCCAGGATACAGAAAGTTCCCAATAAGACTTTCTTTTGAGCCCTTTATTGAAAAAGATAACTTTTGAAAGGTGTAGTCTCCTTAGGTGGTAGACATCTTATTTTAACTCCAGTTCAAGAGAGCTCCTGGGGTACTCTAACAGGGATTATTTTACATATGTCACTCTAAATTAGCATCACTAACAGAGCCCCTGAATAGAGGTAAATTTATGGACTCTTCCAACTTGGGAGAACTGAAGCCATAGATCCATTTAGCTTGAAAACAAAACGCCTCTCTTACTGCAGTGGTAGTAACTCCTGTCATCCTGGCTTCACGTAGAGAGAATTAAGTGCATTTGCTCGACTTTGCATTTTCAAAAAAGTACATCTAACTCTGCTTGTTAGTGTGATAAAGGACAAGGCTGGCCCAGATGATCCAAAGGCCTCCAAGTAAGTGAACAAATGTGGAGTGTTTGTTTGCTGAGTCTTTGTTTCTGTGTCCACAAGGAGTTGGCGGTAGAGCTGCCTCCCTTGGGAGTGACCAGGGCAATGTCTGCTGCGTTGTGCTGTGGCTCCGTAATGTAGACAGAGGAGTTTGGAAACAGGAGGCCCTGTTTCCAGCCTCCCAGCCATGGTGCACTAGAGTCCTGTAACCACTATTCTTCCTGGAGATTTGGGAACATTTGCTGAGTCCCCTGCTGGGCATAGACTTCCCACCCCTGCTCATTAAGTGTTATAGATTCTCCTCCCTGCACAAAGCCTAGTGTGGTTCTGCCCTGACCCCGCAACTTAGTGTAATACTACCTCTAGTTTCTATCTCTTCAATGAATCAAGTATTTTCAGCTTTGCAACTGTCATTTTCACTTTGAAAAATTCCTACTTTTACTGAAGCATTCCTTCTTAAGAGGTTAGATCTTGTCGGGCACCTGGGTGGCTCAGTGGATTGAGTGTCTGACTCTTGATCTCAGCTCAGGTCTTGTTCTCAGGGTTGTGAGTTCAAGCCCCGTGTTGGGCTCTGCACTGTGCATGGAGCCTACTTAAAAAATAATAATTAAGACAACAATAAAGGTGATGTTGTTTAGTACAAAAATGTGGGCTTTGGATGTCAGAAACCGAGGTTTGCATTTCCCTCAAAAGCTGTTCTAAAGATAAAGTGTTAAGACATTACACAAGTACTTTCTTTGCAAAGTGACTGACAAATAGTGACTAGATTCCTAGTAAAAGTTGGTTCTTTTCCTACTTTTTTGCACTGTCATTTGCCAACATGGACTGAGTGATTACTTGCACAAGCATGGGACATTCAATGCTCAGGAAACGGTCCACATATGCGGGAGCTAGCACACATTTTCTGTGGATGCTATGCTTTTGTTATATTGTATACTTCATCTATTGTCAGAGTATTTGAGGTGGCTTAGAGTAAAACCATATGTACACTTGGATGTGTGAAGATAAGACAAGAACCTAAATGACACCTTGACCTAGGGATAATTATCTTACTGCTGCAGTGGACACTAAATTTGGTTCTGAGATTCATGATGGCACAGGCAAAAGGGATGATATGAGGGACATACACACATATGGATGTATACATGTGTGTGTATTTAGGTAGCAAATGATACCTTGTATACAGTAAGTTTTAGGTATAGGTTACATTTGAAAAATTAGAATGTGTCAGGGCAGTTAGTTAATTTTACAAAGCATACCCTCAATTCAGATTAATTCATTATTATAGCTACTAAGGATCAACAAATGTGGTATTACTGACACATTTCCATGTCTCATAATAAAGTCAAACAATGGTTGTTCATGATTCATGGTTGGTATACTGAGAATAATTCCTTAATGCCATGGATAAACATTTTTGCTATAGCTGCTCATCTTGGATGCATGACTCACCAGGATTGATAATCAGGTAGTATTTTTAGGGAAGTGTTTAGAAATAAAATGAGAACTGTGGTCCCTGTGGTTCTCTGTTTCCTGGTTTCTGAAATACAAGATGATACGGAACATCCTTCTGGGGAATGATTCCACATCCAGCCATAGAGGAAAAAAAATTTTTTTTGTAAATTTCAACATGAAACTCAAATTCATATTAATAATGGTTTAAAAATAACAAAATAACTTAATGCTCAAGTTTTATTTCCTATGCTTGCAACTGTCCTTTCATACTTGATCTTAGTTTTGAGTGTTACAGTCAAATTAAAAAAAAATGGTTCCAGCTGAATCACAAAGCACAGTGCTGTGTGCCCAAACTTTCAGCATCATGACCTCTTAAGGTGTTGAAGAGATGAGAAGGCAGTGTGTTTTATGTGCCAGGGAAGCACCACTGAGCCCTTTCAAGGGACATTTTGAAGGATGTCAGTCCCTTTTTGTTGGTGACAATGACATGTCATGCTGGCTTGTCCTGTCCCTGTGGAAACCAGCTTGGCTAGGGTTTGATTTGCTTCCCTTGGCATCCAGTCTACACTGTGCAGTCTCCAGGATGTAGAAATCAGGCAGATGGTTCTGTGGTTTCTGACCCACGTCTCTAACCCCTTCCTTTGACAGGAGCACCTGATTGAGAATGAAGTGTCAATCCTGCGCAGGGTGAAGCATCCAAATATCATCATGCTGGTCGAGGAAATGGAAACAGCTACTGAGCTCTTCCTGGTGATGGAATTGGTCAAAGTAAGAGGATGAAGAGATTTCAAGCGATTTCATTGCTGCCAAATCCCAAGACTTATCATATTCTTGAAGGACCTAATTGGAAAAATGTTTTACTGCCTTGAAACTTTCATCATTTATCATCATTTTTCATGGCACTTAAGTCATTTTTTCATTTGCTGCAGGCTGATGAACCTTCTTTGTTACTCTCACAGGACTGTCACTATTGACATTTTGCTATGTTTTTTTTATATGTCCATTAGGGTGGAGATCTCTTTGATGCAATTACCTCGTCAACCAAGTACACTGAGAGAGATGGTAGTGCGATGGTGTACAACCTGGCCAACGCCCTCAGGTATCTTCATGGCCTCAGCATTGTGCACAGAGACATCAAGCCAGAGAACCTCTTGGTACGTCATCTCTGCTTTTTTTGTTCCAGTTCATGCCTCTCTTCCTTTAAGGTGACATGATCTCATGCAGACAGTATCATTTCAGAGTCTATACCAATCTTGCAGTAAGGGACTGAGAGAATTTAAATTAGGAGAATCAGCATGGCTCAAGTCAGTGATCATAAAGTATTAATGGATTTCTTGAATTGATATGTATTTCTGTATTTATTTATCAGACATTAGAAAACACATTTCCATTTATGTTTTTTTTTAAAGTTTATTTATTTTGAGAGAGAGAGTGTAAGCAAGGTAGGGACAGAGAGAGAGAGGAAGACAGAGAATCCCAAGTAGGCTCCACACTGACAGCACAGAGCCCGATGTGGGGCTTGAACCCATGAACTGTGAGATCATGACCTGACCCGAAACCAAGAGTTGGATGCTTAACAGATTGAGCTATCCAGGCGTGATAGGTTTTCATTTATGTTTTGATTGATGGTACTGACTAAAGAAAGGTGAGAAAAAATTATTTTATGAGGCAAAAATTCTGTGGAATAAATCAGAGATAGAATGAGAAGCTTATAGGAGACAGAAGTAAAGTGTGACAGTTTGTTTACATGCAGAGCAGAACTTTGGAAATAATTTAGTCCATTTATCTCAGCTTCACAGGTACAGAAATTGAGACTCAGATGTTGATTTTTCTTGCTTAAAAGTCTCATTTGTCCCACTGATCTACAGAAAAAGTCTGTGGCACTTGGAGAGCTTCATAATCTGGCCCAATTTACCTTTCCAGTCACTTCTCCTGTTACCCACCCTTCCCCACCCATCTGACCAGAGTGACACTCACCTTCATGTCCTATTTAGCACACCACCATGATGGCCTTAATAAACACAGCTTACTAATTGGGCCAATCTTTGTGTCCACACTGTAGAGGAATTTTAGAGAAGCTGATTAGGGGCTTCTTCACATATTCCCCCCAAATACACATAAGACTGTTTTTTCTCTATTTCTACCTTTCCAGGCTGAGTATCCTCATCATTACTACTTAGGTGAGGTTATCTGAGTATTTTATATCATGATAATACAAACCCAGATTTTCCTGTCTCCACTCATTAGTTAAGACTTAACTTTATCGACACCATTATATATCATTGCTTATTTCCATACTGGTCTACTTTCAAATGTCCTCTCTCCCAGTGATGTGGCAAACATGTTCATCTTATAAGGCACTGAGTAAAAGGCAGGTCTTCTTTGACATCATTCCTGACTCCCTGGCAGAGTCAATCATGGCCACCTCTAGTTTCTACTGTACATTTCCTGGTGTGGTGAGTTTATCATGTGCTTGTGTGTTTCCTTCTGTAGGTGAGCACCATTAGGGGTAAGGTCTGTGTCTTGATTATTTTTATATCGTCAGTGCCTTGGACAGTTTCAAGGAAGCACATGGTGGATGTGAAGTAAATGGTTGTTGTCTGACCATCGACAGTCACTTAGCTAGCTAGCAGAGGGGCACTCAAACACAGGTCTTTATAGCTTGTCTCATACTTGTACTATACAAATAATTATAGAAAAGAATATGCCTTGATGTTCAGACTTTGAGGCCATCCTGAGGGCTTTCTGCTAATCCAGAATATCCATTTTCCCCTTTTGGTAATATCATTTGAGTATCCCACTTATAAGTATGTGAGTTTTTTCCTTTCTGTCTTCTGCCTTGAGGAATTGTGTTCCAGGTCTAGATTTTCCTATTATGAAAATAAATATCCTTTCTCTGTAAAACAGGATGTGTCATGGGCTTGGTTTTATGATCTCTAAGGAGGACTGGACCTCAAGATAGAAGTGAGAATATGGTGTTTTCACCTCAAAACTGTCTTCTCACCCATTATGACCTTCCCGTGTCTTTCAGGCCCAGGCTCCTCACCATGTGACTGAGGTCGTCCAGGGGCTTCACAAAGGTGACAGGGCCTTCTCTGGTGGTGGCCAGACCTAAATGTCATGGTATTAAAGAGGATGCCTCCTTCATTTCTCCCTGCTGTCCATGGCGCACCTCACCCTGGTGGCTGCACGTACTGATGTTTTCTGAAAATAACAGAGCCACACATCTCCAGGGATAATTGGTTTCTGTTTAGCCAACCCATACTGCAGCTTTGAATGACAAGGCCCTGTGAGGAAGGTGACTGCGGCATTAGCGAACTTGCCTGTAACCAGGGAGTGTCCATTTCCCAGATCACGGATTCCACTCTCCCCTCTCATGTCTTCTCTTTTTTACTCACAGTGTGTATTGTGAGTCTCAGAATCAGATCCCTCATCCTTTTGTCACACATCAAAGGAAGATAATAGAATGGAGATTGGTGTCTCCAAGATGACATGTCTCAGAGTGTAACCAGGAGTTTGGAACCAACTTCCTCGTGCAGTCTAACTTGCCCTAGATGAGTCTTCACCCCTCTTCAAGACCTGCACCAGCCCCACTCTGCTACCCAAAGGGGAGAGAAGGAGGATGATAAAACTGATGTCTGGATGAGGCTAATGTGTGCTATAAAAGGGTCAGGCTTTGGAAACCTTAGCTGCACATATCTAAGTAAAATATATACCTGCCATCAAAAACTGAACTAGACCACTCTGCAGAGTCTAGATTGAGTCAGTAGGTCAGCATTGCCCTAGGATGAGAAAGTGCCATCGAGGCACTAGACATAAGTACACAGAGTGACCATCAGCTTCTCCCTACTTTAAAAACGAATTCCATTTTTAAACAGCAGAGCATTCAGATATCTGATTTGCATCCCCTTCTCCGGTAGTGGGGTCATAATTTAAAACCCTGCCAGCAGAGATGTATGGGTCGGCGTGTCAGGGAGCACTGAGGTGGCCATTAATGCTGTGAGTTACAGCCTGGCGGTGCCCTGTCAGACGTAACTATGAGAGACCAGTGATAAATTCTGCTTTTCCGGGAGTTCTGGGGACCGAGGAGAGAAGAGGGCTGGTTTCTCCTATTTGAAGCCCTTCTAAATCATTATGTTGACATTTTATTTAGAGAACAAGCAGCGTTTACTCTGTACGTGGGATCTGCATTCCTCACATTTTTAACTTTTGCATTCCGGGCGCAACTTTTGACACAGCGTCTCTCAGCTTGTGGTGGGGCATTTGAACACCACAGGGCTGGAGTTCTCACAGTTGTGATTGCTTAAATTCACTCAGAATCTGCGTGGGGGTGCAGGCTGCAGCCAGGGTTCCACCAGGCCTAGTCTCTCACTTTCAGACACAGAATCTGTTGCAGGATTGTGCGGAGGGATGGGAATGGTTTGGGTTGGAATCCCCTCTTGGTAGCTACTAGTAACTTGAGTTCTCTGTGCCTCAGTTTCCTCATCTGTAAAACAGAGGTAACAGTTATTTTTCTAATCACCCCAAGGGGGTGACCCTGAGGTCCATTAGAGCTAATGTGTGGGAAGATGTTGGCATTTCTAGAGTTTTTGAGGATGTCAGTAACTGGGGAGAGAACTGAGCACATTGCCAGAACAGAAGGCCTTTCTCTGGGGTCCTGATGCATTTGTTCACCTCTTTCTTAAAATCAGGCTCTTAAAGCAAAGCCATATGTGTTTATATGTCCGTGCCATTCTCTTAAAGCAGTGTATAAATGTGTGTCTATAGGTGTAGATTTATAGATATTTTTTCCTGCTTTGAAGAGAATCTCCAGCTAAGATTTGAAATTTGCTCATATTATCTTTCATATATTTGCCTCTGTGTCTAGCACTGGGGAGAAACAAATCAAATAAAATATTATTTCAGGCTTGTCTGCTCCTTATGATACTTCTCTTTAGATGTTTAGCCAAGGAGTGACAGTTGCCCAGACATAATTCAGTGATTATAAACTGTTCATTACCTTACTATTTATGCTCCTGAATCTGACTCTGAATTCCTTACAGGGGATATGAGAAATGGGGCTTCAGGGACTTCTGAGTGTCCATAGCAACCCTCAAATACCCCTAGGCATCCCTAAATTGCATGTCTAAAGTAAACATTATTTTTCAAAAAATGTACCTAATGAGTATATTTTAAAGTTGTAAAAACAAAATAACAATGACATTAATAAAACTCTTTTTTTTTTACTTTCATGATACAGACATTTAAAATTATAATGTTGCTTAGAATGTTCTTATCACTGCAATTACTTAGGGAATTTGTGAAGTCTGGGTTTCAGTAAATGCATCATAAATTCTAACTGTAATTCTCTATATCGGATTGTTCTCGTTAATGTTTACATTAAACATAATGGATGGAAGGTCGTCCTTAGACCCTGGCATGACTGAAAACCTGGTTTCTGTTGCTTTAGGCTAAATCATTAGTAGCTTTGAATATTCCTCTGCTGAGTTGTGGCTGACTCAGAATGATAAATATCTGTGAGGGACTCAGCAGCCTCACCATTACTCCCATGAAACTTGAAAGTCATAAAGATGTGTGTTTGGGATGTATACTTAGTACATAAATGTGGAAGCAGTTATTAAATACTAAGGTGAAAAACATTCTTCACCTGATGAGGGCATCACAGGTAAGGAAGGCATTTCAGTATCCTGCCTTTTAATGGAGCCCTGAGATTCTTGATGCTTTTTAATGATGTCTGTATAAATCACTCCCCCTCACTGAGAATCAGATTAATGGACAATGTTGTTAACATGCTTATCTTGAAAAAGCATAATTTTCTAAATCTTTCATCCTTTAGTAAGTAGTGGCTTGGGGGAGAAACTGGTTCAGTTTGTAGTAAAATGTGAGGAAAAGGAAACTAAATATGACTAAAATATAAAAATAGAGAAAGACATTACATCAGTATAGATTAGTTCTCTGAAGTTACTCTTCTCTGAAATTCACTGTTTTTAGAATGGACATCCAAAAGATGAGTAGGTTAAAGATTACATAGTTAAATCTAAAAACCTTCTATTTAGAATGTAACTTTCAGACTTTTATTCCCAAAGCAGAATTTGCTTAAGAATAAAATTAATTTTCCTGATTATAGAACCAGCACATGTTCATTGTAAACATTTTGGAAATGAGAGGAAAGTATACAGAAGAAAGCTAAAGTAATCTTTGGTGTTACCACCTAGAAAGAAACTGAAAATTTGGGTGTATTACAGTTAATATATAATTTTGAATATTCTTTTTATGTAATATAGTGACTATTTTCCATAGGATTAATACTTATTTGAAATGTGCTTATTAGTGACTGCATAGAATTTTATTATATGAATGGTCCATGATTGATGAAGTCATTGTCCTGTTAGCCATTTATGTTCCTTCCACTTTTTAAAAACGAAGATAAATTCTTAGATTAGTGGCTTTGTGTGTAACCTTTGGGTTCATCTCTATTCCCTTAGGGTTAGTTCTTAGAAGTAGATTTACTGGATCAAGGCTTATAAATAATTTAAAGAAATTTACATGTTGCTGAAATGTTTTCTAGGAAGATCTGTGAAGCAAAAAGCATTCAGATCTTCACCAGCATTGTTAAACCATTTCCAATATGATAATTATTTGATCTAATCAGCCAGTCATTCTGGGAAAAGGTAGGAACATTCATTGAGCCCTGATCTGAGCTTCGTCTCTTCATACCAACCCCATGAGTTAGGGACTCATCTCATCCCACTTCACAGGTGAAGACATGTACACAGGGTGCCTTTCAAAGGTCACTCAACCAGAAAATGAATGGAGGTTATTCAGGTTCAGGCAGTTGGATCCCAAAGTTTATTTTCTTTCCAAACTTCCAGAGTTTTCCCTTATGTAATATTTATATTCATCACTGTTCAGAGAACAAGTCTTGATTTTATTTTCTAAACTAAACATGAAAAGGTTTTAGTGGACACTTAATAAACACCATTTCTGAGTCTCACTTCACACAGTGAGGATGTAGTAAAGGTCCATTTCCTGCCTTTTAGGCCACACTGGGTAAGCAGCTACCTACACCCCTAACTGCTGTGCCAGCATGCACACAAATTCATTATACTCTTAGATAAGGAGCTTTTGTAAAAAAGTTATTTATTTATTTATTTATTTTTAGAGAGAGACAGACAGACAGACCCACCCAAGCAGGCTCTGTACTGTCAGCACAGAGCCTGAAGTGGGGCTTGAACTCACAAGCTGTGAGATCATGACCTGAGCTGAAGTCAGGCACTTAACCAACTGAGCCATCCAGATACCCCAAGATAAGGAACTTTTTACAAAGAGGGAAGATACTGTCTTCCATATTTCACATAAGCATGCAAAATCTCTAAAGAAAAACCTTACTTAGAGCTTTAGAGCATCAGAAGTAAATCATTGTGTATTATTATCACAGGTGAGATTTTTTTTTTTAGTTTATTGATAAATGTTGTTTCTACCTCATTTCAAGGGCCCATTTGGAATTGTTGAGAAAAGAAACTACTTCTGATTATTGGCTGGTTTCTGTTCCAGGTGTGTGAATATCCTGACGGCACCAAGTCCTTGAAGCTGGGAGACTTTGGTCTGGCCACTGTGGTGGAAGGCCCTTTGTACACAGTCTGTGGCACACCAACATATGTGGCTCCAGAAATAATTGCTGAAACTGGGTAAGACTCCTGGTGGCTTTAGTTAGTACTTAAAGTTTGGTGGAAAAAGGTGTGTTTTGCTGCTCTGGCTCCGGTGTATTCACATACCTCCTAGGAAGGTGGAGGGTGGGAGAGACCATTACCTGCACCATGACTTTGATCTCAGAAACTCAGGTGTGTGTATCTATGTCCAAGAGCTCTAGGCCTGGACTTTTGTCCCAGGGCCAGTCTTAGAAATACCTCAACAATCCCCAGTATTGTGGTTAGCTCCAGAGAAAAGTAGATGCCCCTGTCCAAAGGGTAGTTAATTCCTCTGTGTGAAATGAGCAGTTTGACACTGACGAAGCCCTCTGTCATAACAAACAAAGGCAACTGCTCCAGTAATGTGGAGGGTCCCTGGGAGTAATATCATTAATTCTTCCTTCCACCCACTTTGTTTTCCCAGCTATGGCCTGAAGGTGGACATTTGGGCAGCAGGCGTGATCACTTACATACTTCTCTGTGGATTCCCACCATTCCGAAGGTCAGTGGCTGTTTGAGTAACAATATCTGAATTGTATACTCTCTCCCTTTGGTCAGGAAGCAGACATTGTCATCCTGGCAATGAGGACGAGGAACTGGTCAATAAAAATGTCAGTTAAAAATTATATAAATGTACCTTTCACTTTTTTTTCTTAATTTACAATCTATAAATGGATATTCCTTGACCACACTTTTGATATGAGGCTTGGTATATAGTCCTCTGAATTTCTTGTGGGCACTCTTCTGTAAAACACACCTATTGTCCAATGTCTGCAATATCCATTCTTGGTCTTTTTCAAAGGAAGTGAGAGGTAAAGATCCTTATGAAGCAGTCTGATCCTTCTAGGTAAACAAACCCTTTACAGTTCTTAATAGTCATTTCTCCTATTTAATTTGACAGCACATTTTTTTTTTAACAACTCACTTTCCAAAGCTTTCAACCTAGTTCTCATAGAAACAGTTAACTCTTCTTTTTTTAAAATTAATTCTGTCTATTCACATAATATTTAATGAAGTAGAATTACAAATACTTTCAGCATAAGTAGGCCTGGGAACAGAGACTGACTGTTGGTAATCATGTATCTCACCAGGGGTGGGGCAGGGGGAGCAGAGGTGGCCACACACACAGGCACAGAGCACACCCAGTACCCCAGGAGTGTGGACTTGCGAGAGTGCAGAGCTTTGACCAGAAGGTCTTGTGATCTGTCCCATATTCCTCTTTGGAGCAAATTAATGACTTGGAAGTAGAAGTCCATCTAATGATGCAAGTTTGATTTTCTTATGCATCTTCTTGAGCTCTCTTTTCACTTTAGTCTCTCGTTTTGTTCATTTTACAACTACTGTTGAGTAGCTACTGTGTGCCAGGCACTATTCTAGGTGTCAGGGATCAAATGGTAAACAAAGCATATTCTTTGATGTCATATTTATGGTGGTGTATTTGGTCAATAAGTTCAATACACTTAATTCGCCATCTCTCCCCAACATTTTATTTTAAAGCTTTCAAACCTGCAGAAAAGTTGAAAGGGGTATATCTTTTTTAAATGACCAATTTTTCTTTTTCTTTTTTTTAATTTACAAATAGTTTGTCAAGTTGGTTTCCATATAACACCCAGTGCTCATCCCCACAAGTGCCCTCCTCCATGCCCATCTCCCCCCTCACCCCCACACCCACAAGTCCTCAGTTTGTTCTCAGCATTCAAGAGTCTCTCATGGTTTGCCTCTCTCCCTTTCCCCCACCATTTCCCCCCTTCTTCTCCCCCATGGTCCTCTGTTAAGTTCCTCCTAATCCTCCTATATGTGCAAACATATGATATTTGTCCTTCTCTGCCTGACTTATTTCGCTAAGCATAACACCCTCAAGGTCCATCCATGCTGCTACACATGGCCAGATTTCATTCTTTTTCATTGCCATGTAGTATTCCATTGTACAGATAAACCACATCTTGATCCATTCGTCCATGGATGGACACTTAGGCTCTTTCCATGTTTTAGCTATTGTTAAATGATCAATTTTTCAGTTGATTTGAACAAGTTTTCTTTTTATTGACATTACAGTAAACACAAGAGTGACACAGAGATGTCAGTTTTCTACTTTTGAGACCCTTATAGGGTAAAGACACCCATCACCAGAATTTTGATCAAGAAGAATAAATTGAGTATGAGGGTATGATTATTTGAGGAAATAATAAAGGTTAAATGAAAGGTAGAGCATTTGAGTGGGACCTTGTCCTTGCAGCGGGGATTGGGTTTCTGCAGGTAGGAAGCTCTATATCTGGCTGTCAAATCAAAGTCTTCCTTCAAGGCCATTGCTTAGGTGGTTTACACAGACCATAGATTACTGCACTATTGGCCAGCTTTTGCTGAACATTTAACTACTATAAATATTAGAGCTATCACTCAATTCTGTGGATTGATTGGGCAGTTCTTCTAATCTGGGCTAGCTAATTTGGACTTGATGGTTGAGTGTGTCATCATTCACATGCCTGGGTCAGCTGGAGCAACAGATAAGACTTGGTCAAGTGCCTTTCAGCATTCAGCCGGAGGGCTGGTCTTGGTTTCACATGACTGTGGGTACAGGATCTCCAAAAGCACCTAAGGGAGCGTAAGTTTCTTTGTTCAACCACTTTCCTAGTATCCACTTGACTCGCATTTGCTAATTGATGTCCCACTGACCAAATGAAGTCAAATAGCTAAGCCTAGAGTAAATGTGAGCAGAGATTAAGCAGGTATGTACATGGAGTGGAATAATTTGTGGCCATTTTGTTCTGGCTGGGTTTAGTGGGGACCTCTTTGGGGAACGAGTCAAGTGAAGGGGGTAGTTTTGTTGGCAGGTGATCACGGGCCCATTATAGTAGAGTTCTCCTTGGTTAACCCAAGTTGAGATTGGTTGGAAAAGGGTTACCAGGGATCAGTTTAGAGGATTGTGTGCTCACAACTCCCTCTAGTGTTTCCACATGCCAGTGCAGTCTGCGGGTTTTTAATTTGATTTTGCTTTTTGCTTTTAACCAAAAGCGAGACTGAGACTCAGATTGAACAGTATGTATCTATTGTGACTTGTTGCTCAGTGCACGGCAGCGTTTTTGTGGGAACTGGAGGTAAGTCTGGCTAATTAAAAGCAGTAAAACTACCTTCCAAAAGCTGTTGACTTATATGTTATATTCAGAAGCCAGTCCTACAATCACAAGATTAGTTATTGCCTAAGCAAGTCTGTTCTTGGGGCCACTGACAAAAAGTAATATTTGCATGATAATTTGATTTTTCTGAAACATACCTCCCATAAGCTAAATGTTTAAACATCATTAGCTTACAACATTCCAAGTTACCTCATCAGACCTTTAACAACTTGGCATTGAAAAGAGGGAATGTGTTCAATTGTGCTCAAACTCTCCTGTTGTTTTCAAGGTTTTTCTCAGTGTACATTTTTAAACTTACAGCACCTTGATCCATCAGCTATATTGTTTCATGCCCTGACTTGTCTCAGCCCGATTATAGAGTATAAGTGTGAAAATACGTCCAGTGCAGATTTAATCAGACTGACTTTTACTACGTGACTACTTAGGATAAATTAGCTTTCTGTTCTCCTGCTGAGGGGCAGCTTGAAATGTTCCAAGTGCTGGAAGTTCACAGCATTGGTCCTTTAGGTGACTTCTAATTGCCTAGATCCCCTAAGCTTCTGTTTGTTGACTCAGACTATTTTGCCAAGAACCTAAATAACTTGCTGCAGTTACACTTCCAACTCTTTAGCTGTTTATGAACAAAATAAAAGTCCTGTATGTTAACAAAATATAAGCTATTTACTATTCCAGGAAAAAAGGGGAGACTACTAATAGGGAGAGATGGCTAAAAGCAACGGTTCTGGAAATGCATGATGTTTAACATCTTTTTCTAACATTTTCTCCTGGTGAGTTGAGCTGAGTTCAGTCAGTAGGGGAATAGCAGTGGAAAAAAAACTCCATCAGACACCTAAAAAGAAATAGTTTGTGCAGGCTCATAGAAAGCACTTTCCAGGAGGACAGTGGGGATCTCTAGCCTTTCCTGGTTGTCTGGCATGACTTTTGCTACTCACTCGATGTGCCTCTTGACCCAGACTTCATGAACTGGCAGATGTCGACTCACCTGGGCTTGGTGAGATGTCCTGGATATTCATAAAAGGCCACAGACTCTGCAGGCATACCTTGGACATGTTGTGAAAGTGGTTCCAGACCACCACAATAAAGCAAATCACATTGTAAAAGCGAGTTCATTGAAATTTTTGGTTTCCCGATACATATAAAGGTTATGTTCACACTCTAGTCTTTTAAGTGTGCAGCAGCCTTATGCCTAAGAAAAACAATGTGCATACCTTAATTAGGAAATGCTTTATTAAAAAAAAAAGAGTTTCCTGGCTGGCTTAGTTGGTGGAGCATACAACCCTTGATCTCAGGGTTGTAAGTTCAAGCCCTAGGCTGGACATGATGCTTACTTGAAAATAATAATAATAGTAAAATAAAAATACATTTTTGCTAAAAAGTGCTAACCATAATTTGAGCTTTAGTGAACTGTAATCAAGTATCACAGATCACCATAACATAGATTAATAATGAAACAGTTTGAAATATTGAGGGAATTACCAAAATGTAACATAGAGGCACAGAGTGAGCTGATGCTGTTGGAAAATGGTACCGATGGACTTGCTCCCTGCAGTGTTGCCACAAATCCTCACCTTGTAAAAAACAACAACAACAACAACAAAAACCAAAAAACAAAACACTTATCTGCAACGTACAATAAAGGGAAGCAGAAATAAAACGAGGTTTGCCAGTCTTCTTTTTCATTAAAGGTGTAATCATCACGCAGCCCCAGAATTTGTCCCTAGGCACCTCCCCAAATGACCTGTTTGTGTGGACACCACTCTTGCTAACTCTGAGAGGGCAGTTAGCATGACTAGGCTTATGTCCAGAAGGCTGGGTAGGGTCCCATGTGAGAATCTGTGCGGTAGGCTGCAGTTCCCTGTTGGGAACTCCAATAAATGGCGCACACTCTCCGACAGAGACTGAACTTCCACTCCTGGATTTTGATCTTGACTCCAATAGTCTATCCTGAATTTTCCACTAGGGCTCTGTAATGAATGGCCTAGACGGCTAATCATTTTGTTCTCACTCAGACCATTGATGCACCTACCAAGTAAGGGGTGGGTGGGGCTCTGTGGCTGTGGCTCTGTTTCCCAGAAGATGGGGACATCCAGCTTCCTGAATGTTTCCCACCAGTGTTGTTACGTTTCTCTGTACCTTCCCTCAAAAGTCCAGGCATCATGAACTTACTCAGCACCAGCTGTGTGTGAAGGAGCACCTCTGAGGGTAGCACAGTTAGGTACAGGCTGAGGAAGGATGCCCACCCAGGGGCAGCAGCAACATCCGTTCACCTCCGTCTGTGAGGTTTTAGTCGCTGTTCTTGGATGGGCTCTTTTTTTTTTTTTTTTTTTTTTTTTTTCCAGATTGAGCTTAAGTGAAAGTCAAGTTCCAATGGGTAGCTAATTATGTCATGAATATTTTATCCAGATTCTGGATTCAATGACTTTTTCATATCTTGGCTATTTCACTGCTCTTGGCTCTTTTATTAAGAAAGTAGAAAGAGGAGGGCAAGGAGAGCTGACTCAGGTTTGTTACTTTTCCATTCTGATCTCTATGAGAGGTTAAGTGAGGGCAGATGCTGAGATTGTTTTTTTCTGAAATGAGGATTTACATTATTTGTGGATTCCATATTTTTTGAGTCTTTTGTTTCTTTGGCAGAATATATACAACATAAAATTTGCCATTTTAACCATTATTAAATGTACGTTTTTTTAACATTACTTATTTTTGAGAGAGAGAAACAGAGTGTAAGTGGGGGGAGGGGCAGAGAGAGAGAGAGATACACAGAATCTGAAGCAGGCTCCAGGCTCTAAGCTACCAGTGCAGGGCCAAATTCAGGGCTCGAACTCATGAACTTTGAGAACATGACCTGAGTCAAAGTTGGAAGTTTAACTGACTGAGCCACCCAGGTGCCCCTAAATGTACAGTTTTAATGGCATGAAGTATATTCACAGTATTGTACAGCCATCACCACCATACCTCTTCAGAATTACTGCATCTTCCCAAGCTTCTTTAAGCATTGTGTCCTCTCTTTCCCTGATACCCATGCATATGGAAATGTTCTTTAGCCCATCAACGAAAAGGAAAAAATGTGTAATAACAAATACAATTGACATAAGAAACGCCCAAGCCAAAGAGACTGGACTCCTCACCCCATTCTTCCTGTGAGCATTTTGTTGAAAAACTATATGCTAACTTTGATTTTTCTTCTATTTCTTTGTCACTGACTTAGTGAGAACAATCTCCAGGAAGATCTCTTTGACCAGATCTTGGCTGGGAAGCTAGAGTTTCCAGCCCCCTACTGGGATAACATCACAGACTCAGCAAAGGTACCCATCTGGGTTTGCTTCCGTGGGTTATGTTCTGTCACGGGGCTCTCATTTGCTGTGTGGGGCTGTTGCAGCTCTTGGTATCAAGCTCTGGGTCTGGCTTGACTTTTAATGTGTGATTCTTCTTTAAGGTAATCCCACAGCACAGTCTCTGAAACTTATAGACACGCTCTGAAAGTTGGACTGGCTGTCTTCCCAATTTGCCCCTGCCACCCTCCTGCATTCTTCTAAACCCTAAACATTCTTTCTTTCATTTATTTATGAAATGTGTGTTGGACACCCATCAGAATGTGGGAATGAGACATACTGACTTGCCAAAAGGAACAATACTGCAGTTTTTACACTGTGGAATGATGATAATAACCAGAACTCTTAGGAGAGAACATCTTGGTTTAATGTAGACCCAGGAGAGAGCTTCTCTTCTCTCACACTGGGGCTGCCTAAGGCAGCTGTGTCTGTGTGATTGCCTAGTAGGCAGTAGAAATGTAGGTGATAATAGCTTCTAAGTTGAAATGGCTGAGCAGCTGTGTTGGCTAGTTCTTTGAAGTACTTAGTGCAAGCTCAGATCTCTGTGTTTATGCTGGAATTCTCCCACTTCGCCTCCTCTATGGTCTTCTTTATTTCATTCCAGGAATTAATCAGTCAAATGCTTCAGGTAAACGTTGAAGCTCGGTGTACCGCGGGAGAAATCCTGAGCCACCCCTGGGTGTCAGTAAGTACCCACATTCTCGGGGAAAGAACACCTGTAAGTTCCGTGACCAACAACCTGCTTCCTCACCGCAGCTTTTGCACATGCAGAGCTCTGCATCCATGTTCCCTGGCAGATGAAATGTCTGTTTTCTTTCATGAGCTTGAAGATAGCTTTCTGGGAGAAGGCAGTTGGCATGAGGATCTCGGAGTATTTGATCCTGCTTTGTGAGTGACCTGGGCAAGTCACTGTCCCTTTCTGGCCCTCACTTTCCTCATCTACAAAATGAAAGAGTTGGTTGGATGCACTCAGGATCCTTTCAGCTTTTGCCTTCTGTACTTAGGGGGTTTGAGAGTTTTCAGGATTTGCCCAGAGGTGAGCATGTTTCAGACGCTGATCCCTCTGTCTTTATGGCACATGGTCATGGGAGTTCTCCTGCTGATGATAATGAGGCTGAGACATAGTGCCTCCTGGAGCCTGGGGGAGAGTGTGTGATGTTGACCAGAGTTCTTCTGGGTTTGGTGGTACTTCTGGGTTTAGGGTAAATGTGATCCGTTAAATGGTGCTGGTGGAAGAGTTTGCATTTACCTTATTCCCGAAGGCTCCGTGAGAGTGAGGCTGATGTACTTAACCACCGGCTTTTGCCAGCTTGTGGGTGAGGGGTGGCTCCTTGTGCCCCTCCACTATCTCTGTGGGGGCCCACACATCCTAACATGAGGGTTCAGCCTCTCTGGATCCTGCCAAGTGACTTGGGTCTTGGACCGAGTAGCTGAGATGCCACATTTCTTTATGAGCGATAAAGACTAACAACTAAGTGAATTCTTGATGAAAATAATAAACTCTTTATTAATTTTGGTGCTGCCGTGGGAGGGACCTGTACTAAATTCTGTAGGATTTGTGCCTTGCGGGGGTTGGGGGTGGGGCGGAGAGTCTCAGAAGCCTGAAGAGTGCCTTCTTTCCTGTTCTCAGAGACCAGTGCTCTCTACGTGGCCTGATTGAGGCTTAAGGGGCAAAGGGAATGGCCTGGGGCCTTTCTGAGGACAGAGGACTGCTAAACAACAAACAGTAATTGTTCCCCTGACCTTGTGGTCCTATTAGGAAGAGATGGTGGGGGTGAAAGTGACTATTCAGGAAAAGACAAAGTAAACCTGAGAATCCAAAATCATTATATTTGATTCTTTTCTTTCCTGTAGGATGATGCCTCCCAGGAGAATAATATGCAAGCTGAAGTAACAGGTAAACTCAAACAGCACTTTAATAATGCGCTCCCCAAACAGAACAGCACCACCACCGGGGTCTCGGTTATCATGGTAAGTGGAAGGCACTCTCCTCTGCCTTTGGAAAGCTGCAGTGTCCAGCCTGACTGCTCAGCCGACACTGAATCTTTAAAAGTGAATAGCCGAGGTTCCCTCACATGGAAGTTGGTACCTTCCATGTTCCTCTTTGCTTTTCAAGATTGGCTTGGCACGTGGCGTGTACCCATCTGGCCGACTTCTAGGCCTCGAGTCCTAGGGTAGGGGGCTGTTCAGGTACCAGCAAGGCCAGCCTGATGGGCCCCAGCGCCGAGGAGCCGCTGGATCCTTCTCTCGGGCTCAGTGCCATCCCTGGCAGCTGCTTCTGCTCTCGTCTTTGTCTCTCATCTGGAGAGGGCCTCCCAGGCCCGGCTGGGATTTACAGCCTAAGGAAGGAACTCCCTGCCTGTTCAAGGCTTCACAAACACACTATGTGAGGTATGAATTATTCTTTGAGACCTGGGATAAGAAACTGCTAACATTAAACAAATTCCTTTAAAAAATCAGTGTTTTGTGGCTTTTAAAAGTACAGAACAATGTAAAAAAATATATATATATATTCATTTTTTTCAGGGTTAGATTTTATGAGAAGTCAGTAACAATGATCCCCATATATTTTTAGACCTTCCTTCTTTAAAAATGCTTTTAAGGCAGTTTATCTAAATGCATAAACACAACAAATCAACAGTGGCATTAAAGTAAGGGAAGAAACATTAAGGTAAATTTAGCAAAAGAGAAAATAAAGGCAGAAAGAATAAAAGTGAACCAGAAGTGCAATTAGCTTACTTAATACCAGCTGTGCAGGCCTGAGTCCCTGTGGAAGCCGGGCCTGAAGCCAGGTGGGGAGCATGTCCCCTCCTGTTATGACACCAACACCAGGGGCCATGACCTCTGTTCTGCCCACACTACTCTCAGGATCTGGGAGCAGGTGAGGGGTTGCCTTCTCCAGGGCCAGAGAGTCACCTGGGGTAGCTTTGGAATCAGACTTTCTAAGGGGACAGGTGCCTGAGTTGTTAGCGGCTTGGCCACCCCTCACAGCCCCTTGGGAACCCGATGGCCAGTGAAGGGCGGTCTCCACATTTCTAGCTTTCTTATCTCGGGAAAAGCATCTCACCCTCTGGGAAGGTTCGACTTGTTTCCTACCCAACTGGAAGGAAAGGGGTTGCTTACTCTGTGGCACATTGTAGTCTAGGCACCTTTACTCAAGAAGATTACAGGTCCAGATAGAGGCTGGAGGGAACCCCTTCCCCGCTCCCCACCCCCACCCTCAATACCAAGAATACAGAACACTGTAGTATGTTTTGTTGGGTATCCACCACCTTGGCCCCACTAATGTTCTGTCATTCGCCTTCCTCCCCCTGGGGAGGCTGCATTTACTTGGAAGCCCTCTGTATTTCCTTGTAACTCCTTTACTCCCCCCCTGCTAGAAAGCATGCTCTCACCCCACTTTCCTCCCCCAGACAAGGCCTGAGCTTGCAGACTCGGTCTTTTGACATGTTGCAGGACATTGGGGTGCTTTGTGCCAAAGTAATGAGAAGGCCTCTTGAGCTGTGGTTTTCCTAGCATTTTAGCAGCATTCTGCTGAAAGCCCGAGAAAGTCAGAGTTGTCACAGAATTACAGCTTAAACACTTTGAAAAGAACCATTTTGATTGACTCAACAGCATGAAAACATTTCCAAGTGATTCACTTATAAGAGCAGGCACCGATGGATGGGACGGATGGCAAGTTACAGACTGGCCGCATGGACACCATAATGTGGCTTCTGTGAAACTGAAATAAAACCTTAAAAATTGGCCCACTTGACACTTAATGAAAAAGCTTAAGAATGTTTTTTTAGAATCAAAATTTAATAGGTTAATTAAGCTTCAGAGTCTCCTAGAAGAAGGACCTTTACAGGACTGTGCCCAGGGCTTAGGAGAGTTCTACCATCATTGCCTGGATCACCTGTGGACTCAGCGCCCACACAGGAATCATGGCCCAAGGCCTGTGGCCCACTGAAGTTCTAGAATAATCCAGCCCTTTACCTTATGGCCCAGTGTAGGCTCTGTTATGGATAATGACATTTAGAGACTCTCAGACAGAAGCTGTATCTTCTGGCTTATAAATGATAGTTTCCCATTTGCTGGTGAAGGAGATCAGTAGTCAAATTTCAAGCCCCTGAGCTTTAACTGAATGGTTGTGTGAATGAACGACCTTTATTATATTTGTAATCTCAGTGGTGGTTGTACAAGTGTGTGTTTACGTGTGTGTTCAGTTGATTTTGAGCATGTTGGCAGGGTTCCGTCTAACCTCATGTTCCCTACACAACTCTGCAGGTTGTTAGGTCTGAGGAGCTGCTGAGTGGCATTACCATATTTCAGTACCTACAGGAGAAATCAGTAAAGCTTGTCTCTGGAGGTACCAATTCTCAGTGGCCAAAAAGCTGGCCTGTGAATTTTGGGCTTGTTCCCAAAAGCAGTGGCAAGAAGGCCTCCATGGGGATGCCATGCTAATCCTCACCCAGCTGAGGACCTGGCCTGCGGCATGGTTGTGTGGGGGCAGCTGGCGGTGCTTCTGTGTCGTCATCCTCATCACCGCTACTACGTGTCTGTGTGTCCTGCCCTTGGGAACAGTTTTAAGTGGTTTTTACGTTAAGAGTAACCACAAATGACTCTTTCTGGTCTTCATACGTTCTCATAAGTAGAGTATGCGAGGCTAACCTCCTTTCCTGCAGATACAAATCGTAGTGGAAATAGTATACTGGTGTTCTCAGGTCGAATTGTCAGATAACTGTCGTGTGACCCACAGACAGAACCTTACTGTCTGTTGTCGCTCCTGGCATTCCCTCTGCCTTAGCCCCCCACCCCCAAGTCGGTGCCTGAGGCTCCTGTGAGAAAATTATAGGATAGGAATGTAAATAACAGCGAAAAACAGTAAAGTTGATACTATTGTCTGCATTTTATTTGACAGTTTGATTTGACAGTTTGAGAGACACTTCAGAGTTTCACTCTTAACCCCGTTGAGACTATGGGGGATCCCGAAGCAGAATTCTGGTATTCAACATGCTGTGTTTAATCAGAGCAACTTCTAATTCGCAGCCCGTCTTAAATCTGCATGCTTGTCTCAGACTTTCTGACACCAGCGTCCAGCTCTTAGCTTCTTATCGGTGCGGGTCTCCTGTACCCACTGACATCCTTCTCAGCCAGCAAAGCGTACCCTTGGAAAACTTTACTTTGAAGCTTTACAGCCTGCCCCACTGCCTGTCATCCCAGATCAAGAGCTGGCCAGCGCCTAGCAGGACGCCGCCAGCAGCTCTCCTGCTCAGTGCTATTTTTCACTTGGTGAAAAAGCAACTTTTTGTGAACAACAGCATAGGACAAGTAACTCTGTGAAGGCTTTTGTTCTCTTTCTCCAGCTACATGTCCAAAGATGCATTTTTATCAATAAGACAGGTGTGGAGCCTTTGAGATAGATTTATACTGGATGAGGTTTTGGTTTAAGACAGGCCTGTGGTTCTGAAAAGCACTTGCATTTTCTTTGACTTGTCAGTTGGTATAGGTAAAGGACAGTGCCTCTGCAGGGTAGGCTCCTTGTTTATCTGGGGGTGGGGGGTCGCATCCCAGCCTCAGGGATGAGACAAGGCCATCTTGTGGCAGGAAAGGGAATTACCAGAAACCCTCATTTGCTGCACCTTGTAGCCAACTTGAGGAAGGATAAATTCACACGGAGGGCTTTCCCTGCTCAGAGGGAATGATGTTTCTTTCAGGGGGAAAATTGGGAATGATTTGGGCTTAATTTAAGATAGACAAAACTGTTTCAGTCGTGTTGCTTCTGTTTAAAGTAAGTCTAGTTTCTGTCCCTGCTTTCTCCTGCCTCTCCCGCCGCCTGCATTGCTTCCCTCTGACTAGGTCCAAGGCAATGGTATGTACTAACCGCACCGCAATGCTTTGTTCCGCTGCACAAACACATGGTCTCCTGACAGGAAGAGAAGAGGAGAAATGACTGGGGAGTTACTGTTCTCTTCTACCCAGGAGGAGTTCTGTGGTAGAACTGAGTCAATGCTGTCTCCTTCCATTTTCAGTGTTTTACCAAGGCGTGGCATGGCCTCTTCTCATACTAGGAGCTTGGAAGCTTGTTAAAGAGAGATGCTAAGCTCTGAGGAGGCTTTTCCACAGTTACCTGCTCCTCAGGAAACTGAAATTGTCCTCGGAAATTGCTGACTGTTCAGCTGGGTTTGGAAGGGTCTGTGGAGAACCCTATTTTACAGCTGACACCAAGCGCCCTGCAGCCAGCCACACAGTCTTAGAAAGTGTTGTGTTTTTAGATCTTCTCCAGACCTTTTTTTTAAAGAAATACTGAAACAGTGCATTTCCCCCCGGGGTAGTTAGATTACAAAACACCTCCTGATCGTTTAGCCTTTCAGCTACAGGTACCTGAGAACTGAAAGCACATTTGGAAACCCAGTGAGATGATGGCTGGCTGGGTCTCACTGGGCAAGCAAGGATAGTTCAAACTGAGTCAGAAGAGGAGAAAAGAAGACTAGCTCTTAACCTTTAACCTCCCAGTGTAAGGTCAGAAAAGCAGGGTGGTTTTTCATGTTTGTGGCCATTTCTGTGCTCCTTGAAGAGCTGACCAGATTAAAAATGTTGAGGGTAAAGGATCTGGCTGGCTCCTTTGGGAAAGCATGCAACTCTTGATCTCAGGATCATGAGTTCGAGTCCCACGTTGGGCATGGAGCTTACTTAAAAAAGACAACAGCAACAAACTTGGGGTATAACAAGATAAAACTGTCCAGAAAGACAAGAAGAGATCAGGTGATCATGGAGGATGTAAAAAGGAGTAATGGCACACGATTGGATTGCAAGACTTTTGTAGATTATGCAGCCACTTGGGTTGTAAGGAGATTACTTATTTATATGACATGTGAGTAACTTTTCAACCTGTGATGAAGAGCTTGCCTTAGAAAAGCTGTCAAAGCCCTAGTGTTCTTGTAGGGTTTACCCATTGTCCAGGATTCTTAGGGGCTCAAGATCTGGGCATGGGAAGAAGCACTCAGAACTCAGGCAAGCTCAGAGCCAGAAAAGAATTGCCTCAGGCTGCCATCCAGGACCAGCTGAGACTGAGAAAGGAGCAGGGGCCAAGTGTGGCGGACTGCCCGGGGGGTTGGGGGTGGGGTGCACTCAGCAATTGCTTTTCTCTTAGGCTTCCATTGGAAGAGAAGCTTGATGTTATTTCTCCTCTTCTGTTTCTGAGCCCTGTGCATGCTCTTGTGCGCTCCTGTCGTGTTGCTATGACCCAGGCCCGGGCTGGGCTAACGTGTTGTTTCTCCACTGGTTTCTCCTCAGAACACGGCTCTAGATAAGGAGGGACAGATTTTCTGCAGCAAGCACTGTCAGGACAGCAGCCGACCCGGGATGGAGCCGACCTCTCCAGTCCCTCCCTCAGCCGAGGAGCCCCCCGTGTCCGCACCGGCAGCCCTGGCCCCCGCCCCTCCAGAATGTCCCTCACCCCCTTGTCCTCCTGCTGCCGAAAGCTGCGAGCGGGCAGGGACCTGGCGCCGCCACCGTGACTGATCCCTGGGCGGACAGGCTGGAGCCCGCCACTGCTGGAAAGCCCCTCTTCTGTCGGGCTGTGCGGTCCTCTCACTGAAGAGCCTTTCTCTGCTGACTGCTGTTGGGAAGTTTGCTGGCACCTCCGAGGGCTGCCAGGAGCTCAGTGCCAGGGATTTGCTTCTTTTCATAATCTGGGCTCTGCCCTCCAGTTCCTGGAGGTGTCCTATGCAGTGTTAGCTGCAGTGACAGATAATCGGAGTGGCTCGTTTTAAATTGTTTTCAGTTCAATGGATATTTTGCAATGTCACCAGGAGAATGTGCAACTTTTGTCTGGGATTTAACGCATTTTTATAGAAACACGTTGGATGAATGAAGCTCTCTCCCTATTTAAGTAAACTCGGAGCGTTCCTTTTTTTTCTTACAAACAACTTAGAACTGCATTTGTCCCTTTGTGGGTGTCCCATGAGAGGTGCCATAGCACCTTCCTCTGCTGAGGGGGTTTGGAGGACTGGCTTTCTGATGGAGGAAGTGAGTGCCCAAGAGGACAGTGTGGTCATCGGACACTAATTCATACTTCGAAAAGTGGTTCCAGGTGCCCAAGGAAGCAGCCCACTGTTAGCCTGGGGCCCTGGGCTTACCTAAGACAACACTGGATATTTATTTGTATACAGACCACAGGGGAATGTCACTTTCTTCCCTAGACAGTGCGTGTTCTCCCCCAACTCTTCCCACATCTGTATTAGGAAACATTAATGGAGCTGTCCTTCGGGCTTTTTCATGGAAGGCTTGGCGCATGCGGCATCACCCAGGCCGAGCGGTTTCTTCTCAGCAAGCCGGCTTCTAGCAGAGCAGGGAAAACGAGGCATCTGAGTAGCCACGCAGTCTCTTTCATCATCTGCTTGTCATCTGGAGCTGGCTGGAAACAACTGAGGAAACATAGCCCGAGGCACCGTCAGGACCGGGGCAGGAAGGTGCTCCACAAACATCCTCTCTTATTACCCTTGTGGAAGGCTGCTGGCAGTTTTTCCTTTTTTCCCCCACTACCCTGCCCTTTTTAATAATTGTACATAATCAATGTATTTGTTTTACCTGCTCATCTTCTAAACTGGGGAGCCCTGTAGTTCATTCTCATTGTTAGACTTTTGCCTCTTACAAGTGTACCCAACCTGCAATAAACCCTTCTTGAGAAAAAAGTGATGGGGGTGGGCAAAGGATTGTGTGGTGGTGTTTGGCAAAGGAGGTGGGATCAAAGCACACTTCCTTGGTCTAGGTTCCATGTCTTTTTATGAAGTCTTGGGTGAGGAGTGGGGAGGGAGAGTGATACTTGGGGAGAGCACATGAAAATACATCTCGGTCAAAGTGTATTTGCTAATAGGTGCACACACCTGCAGCAAAAGCTCAGGAATAAATAGGGGCTATTACTGTACCGCAGAGGAATCTTATGGCAGGAGGGTCAGGCTTCCCAGGAAATAGGGAGCAGGGTAGTGTCTCCAGTCTGTTCTGCTGTGGGTGCATTTTGGCTCTTGGTTCTGGTCTCTTGTAACTCCTGCTTGCCTGTAGCTCTGGCATAGCCTGGTGCTGCTCTGTCCCCAGCTTCTCAAGGCTGTCCAACTCCAGGCCTTGAGATCATCTGCTTCAGCTCTGGATCCCTTAATTCACAGTGCTGAAGGAATGAGACCATCCGACTGGCTCCAGCCATGCGATGATTTCCCCCTGGGCTGGTGCTGACCGGTGATTCAATCCAGAGGCTGGTTACAGAATGCAGAGTTTTCCTCCTGGGCCCACAGCTGCAGCAGGTATAGGCTCCAGGAGGAGGGAGGTTTCAGAAAAGCTGTGATATACAGGTCTAGAGCGTTCTGCTTGTCTCTGGCCTCACGGATGAGTTAAGGACCAGGCTTTGTCATGGCTTCCAGTGGAAATATTTTTGTTAATGAAAGGGAAGAGCTAATGTAAAGGAAAGAGAACATGGAAATAGTGATGGAGCATGGCCTCTGGCAGCGATCAGAGCCTGAAACTGGAGTCCCTCCCTGGAACTGAGGTAAAAAGGCATTTGCTGACGACTTAAGAAAGTATTTGCCAGGGCAGTGCTGGTCACTGGTGCTAAGGTAAAGGACCGTCTTCTGTCCAGCACGTGCCCCCATCCTCTATGCCACCCTCGGATGGCTGGGATATGGTGGGGGAGGATGGTCTGGAGACAGGAAGTAGCATGAGCATGTGGGGCAGCACAGCCTAGTGGCTCTTCTGTAGTTACACGAATCCCACACACACCTGGAGCCGTGATGTGTGGCTGTGAAGGAGCAAACCAAGCAGTTAGGAGGCGTAATGCAAGTCACAGAATGGGTGGGAGACAGAGTCACCATGCAGTTTTAGGCTTTTCCATCTCTGAAGCTGTGCCCTTTGGAGGAACCCTGTCCCATGGGGGCAAATCAAGGCCTAGGTGTGAATGGTCATCTAAGTAATGAGCCTAAATAAAGCCTTTGACACCACAAGCAAACCGTTCATTTCCCCGTGTGTTTAGAAAACATTTTTTGAGCTCTTCGTCTGTTCTTAGAATCCAAATTAAATGCAGGGATGTAATTGCTAGGTTCCTCTGCTCCTGCACAGTGAGAATGGTATGTACTTGTTTGATGTTCATTCCCTTACTCCAGCGGGGGATCTGTGTCTAAAGGAACTGACCTTTGAAGGGGTAGAAAAAGGGAAGTGGTGACCTGTAGCCATCATGGGGTGCCTGCTGGGCTCAGCAACTGCCCAGGGGTCACCGTGTGTGTGTGTCTCTCTCTTCAAAAAGGTTGCTGCGTTGTGGAAATATATGGAATATATGGATTAAAAACATTTGGTAAAACTTCCCAGGATACTTTCATGGATACAACTGTGAAATGTGAATTTGAAAGTAGTGAGGACTGTTCAGAACAGACTGTAAGGAAAGAGAAAGGGTGCGGACTACCGATGGTGGTGGGGAAAGACTTCTGGAACAGTGTGCCGCCCCCTGGAAACGCAGTGTAAGCTGCCTCATTTAACATTTTCTGGTGCCACATTAAAGAGGAATGGGTGAAGTCAATTTTGTAGTATATTTTATTTAGTCCAATGTATCTATGGTATTATTTCAACATGTAACCCATAATGTAAACAAAAGACAATCTTTGAGATACATTTTTTTTTTTTTTTTTAATATTTGAAATCTAGTGTGTGTTGACAGGTACAGAACATCTTGGCTTGGACCTGGCACCACTTGAGTGTTTCATAGACCATGTGGCCCCACCAGCCACACTGGATTGTGCCGCTGGAGAGGAAGCCCAGACAAAGCTTGGTCTTTGTTCCTTTTCTTTTTTTTTTTTTGTTTTTGTTTTTGTTTTGATTTTGCATATGATGTGAATGACGATCAAGAAAGCTTATCTGTGTTTTAAATGGGATGGGCTGGATGTCAAGTTCCCTCAGCAGGTTAGAACACTGATCCGAACCTGTGCTGTGAAATCAGAGCGTGAAGCCCCTGCCATTCTGTTGCCTAAGGCCTTGATCTTCACCACTTCATGGGAGACCCGGGAGCGGAGAACTTCAGTGGTCACCATTCATTAGGTGCTGACAGAGCTGTTGAAATGTTAGCAGAACCTTAAACTGCGTCGGGAGAAATCTATGCAAATTGTGGGCAGCATGAGCCAAGCCCTCCTGTGTGTCTGTCATGAAGGCCTCCCAGCGTGTGATGCCCATGAAGCAACAATCACCCGAAAGAGGGCAGTCAGAGAGGTGAGGGGGACCGCAGCCCTGGCAGCCAGGGACTGGTGGGAAACACTGTATGGTGTTAGTTAGGGGACACAGAGGCACATCTGCTGGATGTCTTTGGCTGAATGAAGAACTGTTCCAGAGCAGGGATGGTGGTCTGAGGTTAGTAGGCAGGAGGTATGAAGGGTCAGATGTGAGTGCAGAGTCTAAGACTCTAGTCAAATGGCACTCCTGTGACAGAATTTTCTGGTGGTGATTATTTAGCAGCAAAGCATTTGGAAGGACTAGATTATCACTTCTTCAGAAAGCAGCTAAGTTTAGAGTGTACAGAGTATTTTATCCTGTATCATTTGAGCCACACCACTTCCGTTAGAGATGTTAACACCCACATTCCACAAATGAGGAAACTCAGAAGGACCAGGCGCCCATCCAGGCATGCGGAGCTGGGACTTGCTCCTCCCGGTTCCCCAGGAAGCTGTCCTTACGACTGGGCTGTCATCTACGTGCTCAGAGATGCTTTAGATGGGACATCTATGTCATAGGCAGAGGTGGGATGGACTGGCAGAGACGCCTGGCAAAGTGGTAGAAAACTGAGGCGGCCTGACGGGTTATCACAAGCAGGGCGGTGAACTCTGTTAGATGAGGAAGGAGAGTAGTTTTTCCAGAAGGAGGCTGATATATACAACTTAGTCTTAGCCAGTGGATTTTTTAAAAATTTACTTATTTTGAGAGAGAGCCTGTGTGGGCAGGGGAGGGGCAGAGAGAGAGAACCCAGGCAGGCTTTGTGTGGTCAGCACAGAGCCCAACACGGGGAGCAAACCCATGAGCGGGGAGATGGTGGCCTGGTCTGGGATTAAGAGTCAGATGCTTAACCAACCAGACCCCCAGGTGCCCCATTGGCCAGTGGATTTTAAGGGGGCTACCTTATGATAAAACCTACAGCCTTGAACTCAGAGGCAGTTAGCTGTGGGAAAGGGTTGTCCTTATTGAACAGCTGAGGGGAAGGAAAGGGTGTATTTGGTACATAGACATTTTGCTCCTTCCCTTTCCCAAACAAACCCCTTTCATTCATGTGGTCAGGATGGTTTCAAGACTGTGGGCCGAGTTTGATGGGTTGTGAGGGTTGGGCACCTGTCTGTGCTGAGAATGAAGTTGGGTCTGGGGAATGTCTTTCAAATTGTCCCAAGTCCAAAGCTGCAAAGCAGCCAGTTGCTTCCTGCCAGGGATGAGGAAATAACAAGCCTGCCCCACTCCCCCCACCTTGGTTCTGGCAAGGAAAAATACTCCTGAACTTGAGACAGAAAAGTAATTCATTTCATGTTTCTGGCATATGACTGCTGAGGTCTCAGAATTCACAGGAACATTTGTGGATGGCCGTCTTCCCTTGCTGGAGAGTCTGGCTGTCTCTGGAAGACAGCTTGTGTGAAGACCAAACCACACAGTTTCATTAGAAAAATGTGACTTCCTTCGCTTGAGCAATTTGCATTTTTGGTTCATAGCAGGGAGGGCTGAGAGTGATGTGTCAATGTCATTAATAATAGGCTTGCGTTTTTATACATAGTGATCTTATGACTTTGGGAGACTGAAAAGTGCAAGATGGATTCAACTCTTCAGTGTGAAAAAAAATACAAATGAGGTTTTTCTCACACATCTGAGAGGAAATAGAAGAGACAAAAGAAAATTTAACAAATTTTTGTTGTATTTTGTTATTTTATTGGTTTGTTGTTTTTATGGTCTTTTCCTTCTGTTTTTCAGTTTAGGAAGTTGTGAAACTTCCCAGCTTCCTTATGCTACAAAAAAGGGGGGGGAGTAGTGAGGCTGGTAGCTCTCCTAACTGAAGTAGAAAACGCTTTCCCCAGCAGTGAGACAGAAATAGTCTGGTTTGGGGCACTAGCGTATTTGCTGATACACACGGTTTATGCAGATTTGGGGATTTACATCCTGAACTCCTCCTCCGTTATTTGTGAATATGCTTTGTCCTAATGTGATGTCACATGATGATGTGATGCTGGGGTGGGGGTGGGGGGCTGGCTGCTAGTCCACGATCTATAACGCACATGAGAAACCGGCAGACCCCCTCCGCCAAGCTCAGTGGTGGGATCCTTCATTCTGTGTCCATGCAGAAGGATACAGAATCCTTGGTCTGCTGTGTTCTTTCGTGGGGATGGGAGACGGAGCGGGGGCAGGACTAGTGCAGTGAGAAGGACCAAACCAGGCCCATGATTTGTATGGTCTGGAGCTCTTGAAATCATAGCCGGTAAAAATATATCACAGATACCCAGTGAAGATCTCTCTCCTAAAATTCCTATCTGGTAAATCTGTTGTATGCTATTTTAATTGAATTCTAGTTGCTGAAAAGGGCGCAAGGTGGATGTGCCGTGTGGCTGTTCCCAGGATTCCCAGCCATCTCCTGCAAACTTGATCCACGCCACCTCTGCCAGCAAGATGGGGACAGGGGGCACATGGCACCAGGTGTGTGTGGTCAGGCCCCGAGGGCGGCTCCGGGTTCTAAGTTACCTTACGTCTTACACGCAGCTTCTTGGGGTTCCCGTGCAGGGTACTTTGAATCTTCCTGTCGTGTGTGCTCAGTAGTACTAAAGTGTGATGTCATTTCAGGGGGCAAGATGGTTCCTTTTTATCGAATTACTGAATGAGATATTTATTTATGGATGTTTGGTGTACTCTGGGGAATACGATTCTCATCTAAGAGTGAGTCATTCATCAGCATGTATCTGTGCTTGTCAAGTTTTCATGTCCTGTATTCGCTAAGCCTGCACACCCTCTCCCAGAGATCTAGTGCTGTTTCTTGAATTGCAGAGCCTCAAGGACTTGATTGGTGACTTTTCAGTAAGAATCAATACTATCAGGGAGGAAATCTGAATTTCTTGAGGCAGTGCACTTTAAAAGTAGCCGTAAATCACTGTATGTAAACTGAACACACTGGACACTTTCAACCACGTCCATGTACTGAATGGCCCCGCACACTTCCCGTCTGTTGTAGGGCATCCAGTTTCATCCCAAACCACCTCAACTTTGACGTTTCCCCCTAATTGGTTAAAATTTATTTGAAGTGTAATGGTTTCTTTAAAAAGTAGTTAATACTGGATATAAAGTAAATGCTGAATCAATCCTAGCAAATATGGTAAACAGATTCTGTCATTAAGAAGCCCTTATGTTGACACGAAGTAGGTTTGTTTCCTGAGTAAAGGAACACAGAAGTGATACATGTGTAAGTCGTGCTTCTGTGTTACTTTGTCTTTCTGTTAATTTTTCAGAGTTATAAGTTTTAAAAGCAGTATGGGCCATGGAGGCACCAATTTTCTTATATTCTAAGAGGAAGCTGCTTTATTCACTTTGCTTTAAGCTTATAAAAATAGAGGAGTTGAAGTTTCAAATGCTTGGCATAAGGATTTAGGTATTCCCGATTCTCATCTACCACTTTCTCTATAGTTTCTATAGTATCAGGGTAATTGCAGTGAAGATGCTTAGTTAATTTACCTGTAACTTGTGTATTTTTTTTTTAAATATTTTTATTTATTTCTAGGAGAGAGAGAGAGACAGCGTGAGCAGGGGAGGGTCAGAGAGAGAGGGAGTCACAGACTGAAACAGGCTCCAGGCTCTGAGCTGGCAGTCAGCACAGAGCCCGACGCGGGGCTCGAACCCACGAACCGCGAGATCATGACCCAAGCAAAAGTCGGACGCTTAACTGACTAAGCCACACAGGCACCCCACTTGTATATTTTTTTGATGTAAGACATATGTTCTCACATTT